TATTCCTCTGCTTCTCTTACCACAGATCTTTTCAGTGACCACAGACTATTCCAATTTCATTCCTCTCAAAACATGACGCCCCCCCCACCCCCTCCCCCCAAAAAATAACAGGATGGCTATCTTTTTCTGATGTTTGTGATATGTTGTCATCTAGCCCTCTTCCCTGTCAAAACATCGGCATTGTTTGTGTGTGCGTGTGAGTGTTTATGTGTGTGTGAGTGTGTCTGTGTGTGCGTATATCTGTGTGTGTCTTTGCGTGTGTGTGTATGTATGTCTGTGTGTGAAAGTGTGTGTATGAGTGTGTGTGTGTTCGTCTTTGTGTGAGTGTGTGTGTTCGTGCGTCTCTGTGTGTGTGAGCGTGTGTGTGTGTGTGTGTGTGTGTGTGTGTAAGAGAATGTGTGTGAATGTGTGTGTGTGTGTGTGTGTGAGTGTCTGAGTGTGTCTGCGTGTTTGTGCATACGTCTCTGTGTGTGTATATGTGTGTGAGTATGTGGGTGTGCGTGTATGTGTGTGTGTCTTTGTGTGTGTGTGTGTCTTTGTGTGTGTGTGTGTGTGTGTGTGTGTGTGTGTGTAGCTTTCTAAAGAATTCCAAGGATTCTTTTGTAAAATCACATCTCTGAGGATACAAGAAATAGTTTTGTTTTTCGTGGAAACGAAAACAATCAAATATAGTGGTTGTAGAGATGTTGCAAATGAAAAGAGAGGTACTAAAAATAAATCCCCTAAAAAATTGTAAAATTTAAATATTTGGCCACATTAAAAGACATAACGCTTCAAAACTCACACTGGATGGAAAGGTCGAGGGCAAGAGAGCAAGAGGTAGACAACGATTCAAGGGACAGAGCGACATCAAGAGATGGATGACAGCAGCAGAATGTACAACCAGGACAAGAGACAGAAAGTGTGGGAGATGAATTGGAGCCACCCTTTATTGCGGAGACGACAGCTGCTTGATTGAGAACAATCAAAAAAAGAAATAATAGTCAGAAAAAAGAACACGCTACTGCTATTACTGCAGCTACTACCTACACAACAAAACAACTACTACAACTATAACTGTTGCTATTGTTATTGTTGCTGCTGCCGCTACTACTACTACTACTACTACTACTACTACTACTACTACTACTACTACTACTACTACTACTACTACTACTACTACTACTACTACTACTACTGCTGCTGCTGCTGCAGCTGCTGCCCCTGCTAACGTTTCTGCTGCTTCTTTTGTTATTTTGCCTTTGTTGCTACAACTTCTACTAGAGTTATTGCTCCCACTAACACGACTAACAGTCTTAATACTACTATGACTACCACCACCACCACCACCACCACCACCACTACTACTACTACTACTACTACTACTACTACTACTACTACTACTACTAATACTACTACTACTACTACTACTACTACTTCTACTACTACTACTACTACTACTACTACTACTACTACTACTACTACTACTACTACTACTACTACTACTACTACCAACACCACCACTACCACAACCACCAACACCACCACCTCTACTGCTACTAATACTGCTACTTCTACTACTTTATTGCCTTTATAACCACTGCCACCACTACCACCACTACTATCACTATCATTACTACTACCACTACTACCACCACTACTACGACTACTACAGCTGCTACTGCAATAAAAACTACTTCTTCTTTAATCTAACGTCAGGTACATTACATTTACTACTACCGGTCAAACTTCTGTGCCATTAGACTAAAGAACAGTAAAGCCATGCTGTCTGTACAGTTTAAATGTTTGTCTGTCCATACTGATATAGTGCTTCCGTTTCAAGATTTGATGAGGTTTCGAGGAACTGGAGAGTATCTGAAACAGCAGCATTCAAAATATGAGAATCAGTGAAGAATGGCTGCACCGTTACCTCAGAACTTCTGGTGAAGACCACTTAACAATACAGGGCAATCGATGAGTGTGATCACTGTGCATAAACTCTTGTGAATCTCTTGAGAAAATATCATGTCATCTTGAGAAGTTACTTCTCCTTCCATCCACCCTCGGAGGATATCGCCTAGTGTGTCCTGGAGGAATGCAACGGTTTGCTTATGCAGAAAACAAGGGATTCCTCTTAGGCGTAACAACTTGTGCTGGTGCAATTGATCTTGAAGACGAGCACAACAAGGTACCCTTTGACTTGGTGGTGATCAGCTTCATGTGCTCAGTCTCAATCCTTTCCTCGTTAACTGGATTTCATCGGCTCTTTTCATGAGGAGGGCGGTGTTTAAGAGGGACCAGCTCCAGCTGACAGGTTATGCTGCTGACGTCACCGGGTCAGGCTAACAATGCAGCAGTTCTCAGACCGGATGCTGAGGCACCCCCTGGGTGCCGTAAGCGTATGCCAGGGGTGCCGCGGCAATAATCAAGTAAAATCGGCTACTAATTGTGAAATTATTAAAGAAGGCATGTAGATACTTAAAAGTGAAAACTTAAGTTGTCTTCCCTTGCCACTGTCGAAAATAGTTTATTTCTTGTTTAAGAACAGCTGCGTTCACGCATCGTTAGCCCTACTTGGTGACGTCAGCAGCATGGCCCATTAGCTGGAGCCGGTCGTGGTTTAAATGTGGTGACACGGCCTTTCAACCAATATCTGTCACACTGGTCTACCATAAACGTTCTCATTTATCTCCCATACTCTTCAATATTTTCACTATAAGAATCACAGGCGAGAAGATCATGGGGGCCAGGAAAGACACTGTCCGATGCTGATGATGATGATTCGATGTAACGTTAAGGGAATCAGTGAGTCTATTCTTGTTTCCTCAAACTGGGCACTGTAACTCAAACAGATGACCTTTTAAAATTTAGTTCAAGCATTAGTCCTCTTTCAAATCAATTAGCGCAACATATTTACCAATATGTTTCTTCTCAAGCGGCGTCCGTGGCTAACGCGTTGCGAGTCCGACTCGTAATTTCAACGTACCGCGATCGAAGCCCAATGCTGGCTGCGTGGTTTTTTTATCATGGTATGGGGCGTTGCAGGTCGACCCAGTCTAAAATGGGTAACAGGATGGCTGTCCTGGGAAAGTAAAGACGGCCGGCGTAATGCTGACCACATTACCCACCTAGTGCCGATTGGTCTGTAAAAATATGGGACGCTCTTTCCATATGCTAAATGCGCCTAGGGCGCGAAAAGGAATCTTGTTATGTTTCTTGTCGCCTTTGCAAGTTTGAAAAATACACTTGCTAGACACGACTACAAGTATACTGCAATCTCCCTACCTTGCATCATAGTAACAATATTTACAGCCATAAAACAAAGCCCCAATGCTAAAACGGCTGTTCAATATTAATTAGGTGGCTCTACGCTTCAATTCGTTTCACCTGCGTTTCCGAATTAATTGTATATCTGTGCGGAGTGACTATCTGTCTATGACAGGCGGGTTTGTGCAGCACATTTGAACCCTTGGACATGCAGGCTCTTACGACCAAGACGTGTGACCTGACATAATCAGTTTGCTGCTTCTTTTTGGAGTCAGTTTGTTTGAAAGAATGGCTTTGACTTACATCAGAATGCGAGATTTTGTTACGTAGTGAGGTTTTGAGTGTGATAGCTTCGTGTTAGACAGTGTGTTTTGAAATATGGCAGCCACATATTCTTCACTTGCTGCAAAACGGCGCCTCAGTTTGGACATCCTGGCAGGTAGAGTGAGAAAGCATTTATTGGTGTAATAGTAGTAGAAATAGTAGTAATATCTAGTAATTATAATAATCTTAGATGTATATGTAGTAGTATTAGCAGTAATAGTTCTAGTAGTAGTTGTAGTAGTAATTGTAGTAGTAGTAGTGAAGGTGGTAGTAGTAGTAGCAATAGTAGTTGTAGTAGTAGTAGTTGAAGTGGCACAGAAGCAGCAACAGTATTAGTATAACTACTATAACTACTAACAGTTGTATTACCCACCACCACCGCTAGCACTGCTGCTGTGGCTGTTACTACTACTACGACTACTCCTAATATGCAACAACAACAACAACTACAGCTTGTAATCGTATTAGTATCAGTAATAAAGGTAGTAGTGGTGGTGATGGTGCTAGAGAAGTTGTTATAATATATATTCCTATTTGATAAAGCTGATGACTGGAATCGCATAGTGCCACAGCAATTTCGAAACCAACCCAGTTTCAGTACTTATAGAGGCAGTTTCACTGTTCACAAATACAATAAGAACATAACAGATTAGTCATCATCATCATCATCATTATTGTCATTATTCTTTTCAGCAATTTCCACTTTTGGTATTAGGCGTCGTGTAGAGAAGCAGTTTACGATTCATTGCTCGACGTTTATTGCCATTCCGTGTTGGAGTAGAACAGACATGTCAAATTGAGGTTCTCCTTAGGGCCAAATGGTTTAAAATGTGTCGTCACTAGGATAACAAACCGGGGAATGTAATGGAAATTATTGCACAATATTTTATTTTTGGGGGCCGCTAGTGTTCTTTGCAAATGCTAACATGCTTTACGTGCTTGATGTAAAGGTCCTTAATGTTATCATTCCATATTTTCCAAGATCAACGTCTTGGTTTCACATCAGAAAAAAATCACTGTCTTCCCACCAGTCGCACAAGGTAATTTTTTAGTGGTGTTTCCTTTCAAGTCGGAATACATGTGCTGGAAAGGCGAGGAACCAACAGTCGTACTCAAATAAGCTAGATCTGCACAACGGATGTGTACCTCTCACTCAAGTCATGGAACAAGATTAAAGTCCAGAGATGGACAAACAAGTTGGAGTTTATAGTCGATGAACATTAAACATAAGAAGAAGAGAAAGGATTGACGGCACACGAGGTAGAAAGATGTGATCAGGATAATAACCAATGCAAAGAAAAACTTGCAATTTTTCTAAATCATGTATATTTTAATAATTTTTCCCGTTTGATTTAAAAGACATAGTCGTTATCTTTATTATTACAATATCCAAGCCATATTTTTGACTTGTTTATCCACATCTATTTCAGCATCAAAAGTAAACGACGATAGAATTAAAGTATGGACTTTGCAGAACCCAGAACAAAACGGAACCTCAGACAACTCAAATAACCACAACGGAACGACCAGCGCAACCACGAACAAGCCACCACTCTATGTCAGGAGAAAGAAGAAACAAGTCAACGGCGCTGAGAAAGAAGAAGACAACAAGACCAAACAACAAATCAATTCCCAAGCATCGGAAGTTAAACTGACTTTTTGTCAGAAATATTTGTCATGGCGCTTTCTGATGGTTTTCTTGCTACAGTCTTCCTTTGTGGTGGCCATATTTATCAGGAACTGTTTGCCCATGGCAATAGTTTGTATGGTCAAACCAAAAGCTCCACTGTCGACGGCCTTGGGTTCGAACACCACGAATTTTGCTGAGCATCTTACGGAGAGTAGATTTCAGAACACACAGTCTCTGTTTGACAATGTATCGTTTTACAATGAAAGCACGCATCAAGAGGTAAGGAGTGGATAGTTAATGAAAATACATTTCTTTCAGTAAAGATATGTGACTACCAAAGCTGTGGAAGTCAGTAGGGTACAATCTGCACCGAGAAGGTTAGCAGCCATGGATCTTCAATACTCTCCGTCTTTCACTCTGGTTGTGCCCTATCTCGAACTGTGTCTATCTTGTGTTTTAAAATCAATTCTGTGTAGGACGATCAGCCTGCCTTTAAATTATGCCTTGAGTTTTGTTATAAACTTCTTGTTGCTTTTAATGCGGTTTTATATTTCACTAGTTTATTTTTTGATTTCTTTCAACAACTTTCCTTTTATTCCCAGCCTATATACAAATAATTTCATCCTGTCTTTGAAGCTGAAATATTTTGGTCATATCAAACGCCACAACCGATTGGAAAAAAATTATAGCAGAAGGCATGATGCCAGAAAGGAGGGGCAGGGGCCGAACGACACAAAGATAAGCACAGGATAAAAGTAACTCCTTGAGTATGAAAGTACATGAGGCGGGAGAGCTGGCGAGAGACCGAGTTTCCTTCAGGCAGACCGTGATGAGATCGACGTTCTGCAAAGGACCCGCATATGTATACTCAGTGATTCAATGAGTATGATCCGGAGGGTTCAGGCAGGTTCGGTAAGAAGACAATGGCTCGAATCATTACAGCACTCTACTGTGCGTGGAGTCACCTGTATTTTTGTTCCGGGATACACAGGCGTCGATGGAAATGAAAGAGCTGACAGGTTGGCTGGATCCGCTATCACTACCAACGGTCAGCCTATGGATCATGCTGATATTATTAATGCCCTCAGAGAAATGGGAAGGATAGAGGACTTTGGTGGCAGTGAATCCACATCACTCGCCAGAATGGCAGACTTGGTAAGTAAGATCGGCATAGCAAAAAACGAGACGCACACCAGACACGCCAGAAGACTTGTTAATCAACATAGAACTGGTACTATTAGCCATCAGATGTTGGGGTTCATACTGAGGGGAGGATCTGAGCACATATGGACATGTCCGGAGTGCAATGATGATAACCCAACTAACTAACAAACAAACTAACTAACAAACTAAGGACCTGCTACATGATGATAATATGAAAATAAACAAATAAAAACCCAAAACTGATTGGGTTTGCTTCTAAATAATACAATAAAAGAAGAGCTACTGGCAGAACGGTCAAGAACGCTGAGCTCTCATGCGGAGACTCAGGTTTGAATCCTTGGTTCCCTGTGTGGGTTTCGGGGCCTCATGGGTGGGGCGGGGAGGGGGAATAAGAACAGAGCCACTTCCGATCCCCCCTCCCCCACAAATTGGGAGCTTCATTCAAAGTCTAAGTGCGTCTGCCCGAACGGTAAAGAACAATCAACTGCACACAAATAAGACGGCAAAACGGATGTACATGCGACACTGAGGCCCTGGCACAAAGCTGATGTCCAAACGGACAAACAACCATGACTATATCAACAACAATAATATAAATAATAATGATAATAACAACAGTGTGGCTTAATATACAAGCAACCAAGTGCAGTCTCCACAACAAAGAAGTCTACAATGGATTTCCAAAACATTATTTCTCTTGTCCCGGTTTTTTTTTAAAAGCTCTAACTCTAGTGTTTGTTAATCTCTTGATGACATCATCCCACTTGTATCACTGTCTATCGATAGTCCGTTTGCCATCAACGTTTCACTAAATTATGATTTTTGTATTAAAAAAAATAAATGGTAATATAGTTGAAATTAAAACGCTCGGCTGAACATGTCATAAACCGAGAGAGTTACATGCAATAGAGCGGAGTGGAGGAATCCAATGTGAGCCCTATGTGACGTCTAACGGCTTACAACGAATGATGATGATGATGATGATGATGATGACGATGGCTGAAATTATCTTTGACAACCTAGTTTCCCTTATTCCCTGTCTTTTCAAATCCTCTTTGTTTCAATTTTTTTTCCTCCGACGAATTACGACCGATTCTAGTGTATCCAATCTAAGGAGACTCACTTCGATTTCTAATTGCTTGTTAATAGTCCATGTTTCTAGGCTTATAGTAGGGTTGAGTGGGGCTGAATGGTACCGAGGCCTGGCCTCCATACTGAGTGCTGGAGTCTCGGGTTCAAGCCCAGGTAAAGGCTGGGATTTTCTTTTTCACGTGGACCTTCAGTAATCTCCCCTAGTCTCTAGGTATGGAGATAGGACGCCCGTGTGTATTGTTACGCATGTCAAATATTAGTTGTCAGTTGACAATCGAAAATAGTAGCCTAACAGCGCTGCCCAAGCAAAAATTTGTAGTTAGATATTTACCCGAAGTGTTTCAGTATCCTTGCTGGTGCTACGGAATTGTGCAATGTGCTGAGATTCTACTGACTCAGGCTTGAGTTAGAAGTAGAACGGAGCACTTATGGGTTACCATTCTTGTGCCATGATGTTGATTTCGTTGTATAAACAAACAAACAAAGTAGTGTTCAGTAATCATGTAATTTGAAAGTTTTTCTTTTAATGTGCTCTTTATATATCAAATCACTACTACATGTGCAGGGTAATAAGCAGACTGACAGACTGGCTGCTGCCGCTCCTCTGGGCTGTGGCCTGCTTCATGATAAAGCAGTGGTGATGAAGGCTCGCTGGGATTAAATTGACGGTGCAACAGAACAGGCATAGAATACAATATTTGAATTACACGGGACAGAAAGGGAGGGGGTTGGGGGGGGGGGTGAAAAAGGGAGGGGAGGGGTGAAAAAAAGGGGGTGGGCGGGGGAATAGAGATTCTGGAAGATTGTCAACGCTGAGTGGGAAACATGGCCGGATGTTTAATCAGGTTGCAACCGGTACTGTCAGCATGTGGATTCTTAGTTAGTGACTCAGGTAGAAGACGGAGCACGAGTGGAAATGTTCCGAGTGCAGGAATGCCAATTCTTGAGTGACTGATCCATTCATTGATTCACTATAACATAAGCATAACATATTGATTTACAGAAATCAGTCTACGATTGACTGATCCATTTATTGATTCACTATAACATTAGTATAATATATTCGTTTACAGGAATCAGTCTACGAGTGACTGATCCATTCACTGATTCATTATAACATTAGTATAACATATTCGTTTACAGGAATCAACCTATGAGTTCGATTGGGACCCTGAAGTGCAAGGACTGGTCCTCACATCCATCATGTTCACCTCATTCATAGGCCCACTCCTGGCCAACGCCATGAAGGAGAAGCTGGGCAATAAACTCACTTTGACAATATTAACTCTGGTGTCCACATTGTTGACCTTTTTGAGTCCGGTGGCAGCAAGGATCAATCCCTATTTACTGGTAGCGCTTCGGATACTCATTGGTATTTCTGTGGTAATGTTTCTTTTTTTTATTATCTCTGTTGTCTGTTATATATATATATATATCTTCTACAACGACCAGTACAAAGAATGGTAGTTAGTTGTACATCACCAGGACATCACACAAGCGATAAACAATAACATGCGGATGAGAGGTCACAGAAACCCCTCTAAACCGTTAGGCCATATCTGATTTGATTTGATTGATTTGATTTGATTCAAGAACCGAAATCACAGCACTCGGGGCATTCCCATAAGCGCTCCGTCCCCATCAGCAGCTATCGAAGAGTTCCGATACTAATGATGCCAGTTGCTTTCTGATTAAGCTTTCTGCCTTTCCTCTGGGCCTCGAGCCTCTGCCAGAACCTCTCGTTACCCCCAACTGCATTAATCTCACCAGACTATGGTGATCCATCTGCTCCTCCGTATTGTACACGCTCTCCCACAAGGCACTAATCACGTCTGCCCTATCATGTAGCAGTATTCCACCAAGTTGTGCAGAGCCAGCCAGTCTGTCCGTCTGTTCATTTCCCAACACACCGGCGTGACCCGGTGAAAAAATCCAGACAATACTGCTCACTCGTGTCCTCCGCAGCGAAGCATGCCACTCTTCACGAAGCATACCTGTTCTGATCCTCCTCAGCATGCTTTCTGAATCAGTTACAATTACAATGTGTGTGTGTGTCGTGTTCTCTAGCCATATCTATACCTTGGCTATATTCAGCCCTTCCCCCACCTCGCCCCCCTCCAGCAGAGGACAGGGTGGGGCTTTAAATAACAAAAATGTGCATCCCAATGGGGACGACGGATTACAAAGTCGAGTCTCAGAGGCTAATCTAAATACATGACCTAGGAATAAACTCTGGTTAAACCAGAACGTGCCGTTTTTGAGGTCAAGATATAAGACACTGAAGTCAATTTCTAATGGAAACAATCAGCAAAAGCAACTTGAGGTGGCTGCTGCATCTGAGGACTGAGCACTCAGTAAAATGCCCAGTGTGAAATGAAGTCGAGCGCTATAATATAATATAATATAATATAATATAATATAATATAATATAATATAATATAATATAATATAATATAATATAATATAATATAATATAATATAATATAATATAATATATATAATATAATATAATATAATATAATATAATATAATATAATATAATATAATATAATATAATATAATATAATATAATATAATATAATATAATATAATATAATATAATATAATATAATATAATATAATATAATATAATATAATATAATATAATATAATATAATATAATATAATATAATATAATATAATATAATATAATATAATATATAATATTTATAATATAATATAATATAATATAATATAATATAATATAATATAATATAATATAATATAATATATAATATAATATAATATAATATAATATAATATAATATAATATAATATAATATAATATAATATAATATAATATAATATAATATAATATAATATAATATAATATAATATAATATAATATAATATAATATAATATAATATAATATAATATAATATAATATAATATAATATAATATAATATAATATAATATAATATAATATAATATAATATAATATAATATAATATAATATAATATAATATAATATAATATAATATAATATAACATAACATTTCTTTCCTACATTTGTATCGTTATCTTCTACAGTTTAGAGTGAGCGTTGAAATCTGTGCAATAAGCACACAAACTGAAAAATATTTACTCTCTGCACATCTGTGGATTTTAGGAACAATGCAAAGAATATCATGTGGTAAGAAAAAACATACGAAGCAATCGTTACATAAACAGATAAAATTCGTAAACTTATTTGAACAAATAGGGGCAATGCTATATGTGTACGTTATGCGAGGAAATGCACTCCATATATTGTTAACAACTGGCAAGGTTGATGGAAAGAGAGCCAGAAGAAGGCAAAGACATATATATCTAGCTTGTTAACAGCTGGTTCGGTTGATGGAAAGAGAGCCAGAGGAAGGGAGAAATATATTTATCTGGATGGCTCAGCCACATAGATGGGGCTAGACATGAGCATTAACCTGATCCGTGATTCAGGGATTGTATGAGACGGTAAAACAAGACAGCCTACCTTTATAAGCAATGCACAGGATGATAATGTTAAAGTCACTGTTTTTTCTTCTCCCTCTTTCAAATACCTTCCTGTTTTCAGCGTCAGGTTTTTAAAGGGTATGTGGTGCTTTTTTTCATGAAATTAAACTGGGAAATACAGTAGGCAGTGAGTAGATAACTCAAAAATGTGACATAGCGATAGAAGGGAAAGTACTTAACCAAGTCAATGAATTCAAGTATTTGGGAACATTTATAACATCAGATGGACGAGTTTTGTCAGAAATTAAGAGCAGATTTGGCCAGGCAAAGACAGCTTTTCAGAAGATGAAAAGTATTTTATGCAATGAATCACTCTCATTAAACATCAGAAAACAAATATTAAAATGTTACATCAAGTCTGTTCTGTTGTATAACAGTCAGTCTTGGAAAGTGAGCAAACAAATAAGGAAGTTTTTGGAGGCACCTGAGATGGGATTCTTGAGAAGAATGTTGCGAATACTGATAATGATTGTCTGGAAAAGACTAATGGAATTAGAATATTATATTCAACAATGAGAAAAAGAAAACGTTCTTGGGCCATGTGATGAAATGAGGAGCAGTGGAAAATATCTTGACGACTGGAAAGATCACTGGTAGAAGTGGCAGAGGCGGACCAAGAGAAATGACAGTAGATGGCTTAGAACAGTGGCTTAGAGGAATATGATCAGTAGAATTGATCCAGAACACCAAAGACTGTGATCTGCGTCGACGCATGACTGCCTACGTCAGCTGGCAAGGCACTTGATGATGATCTGGTATGTGCGGCGAGGATGCTGGTGTTCACGACCTCAGAAATTCCATCTGCCCATCGCTTACTTTGGCGATCTCTAGATCTTCTTCAATTTTATCTAACTGGTAGAGCTCCTTATATTGCACTGGTTGATGGCACCCTTGACACAAGTCCGAACCATCTGAACTTAGAGTCATACATTATGTGTATTTTTTCACGTTTCGAATTAGAATTAATGAGTGGTTTTAGAGTTAAAACAATATTATTCATATTACTTTGGTTGTTGTTGATTGTATCTGTTTCTCACACAGGGTGGTAATGTGTCAGTGATCGGTGACTGTATTGCCTGGTGGGCCCCACAGGATGAAAAGCTGACGATGGTTGCTCTAACATTCACAGGTATCTAGCGTTGCTCCATCTTCGCTGGAACTACTATCTAGCTAGTTATCTGACATTATCCTCATCACATATCGAGTTATTAAGTGAAAGGATCATCGACTTAGTATATCGCCTAACATTTAGCGGCTGCCGTGATCACTTCTATTGTATGCAATTATTCGGTATCATGCCTATTGATCTTGTATAGCCTCACTTGTTTGTATTTCTAGTTGTATATTACCTGTTGAAATTAGGGTCGGATACCAAACTTTTAAAGGTTGGGAACGCTGTCTGCTTAGATCAGTGGTTCTCAACCTGCCGGTTGCTACCCTTTTTTGTGTGGGTCGAACGACCCTTTTGCATTGGTCGCCTAAGACCATCGGAAAACACACATTCATTGAAGTTATGAAGGAAAATAATTCTTTGGGGGGTCGCAGCAACATAAGGGAACGCTATTAAAGGGTTGAGAGCCACTGGTCTAGATGGAACACCAAGAGAATTTTTTGCAGCAATTCAGTTGATGACCTGTTGCATGTCAAGCTCAATGTAGTCAAGTCCCGCTGGGAGCAAGCTAATATTATGATGCATATACAGATTGAGGCAGCAGGGAATGATCTGGAGATTGGGCTGCCACTGTACACTTAGTGGAATAGCCCGAAGGTTATACAATCGAACCTTTACTGATACCTTTAGCATAGGAACTCTTCGCTGCTGCTGCAGATGAGGATGGAGCGATCACATAATGTACTGATTGCTATGATGTTGCGGTTTAACCTAGCTCAACTCAACTTATTGCGACAAATGTTTAGAAAAACAAAATAACTAAATATCTCATAATCATCGTGTGCATTCTAATAACTTTACGTAGTTGATGGTTTCCAGAAGATAACCAGAATCACATGCCCTCCCAATCCCCATCCACTTGCCCAAACCATCCTGTCTTTTTGCTTTCCCTTCTACTGTTTCCATCAAGTTTTCCAGCTGTCATCAAGTTTTCGAGTTTCTTACTTATCATGCCATGTCTAAAAATATTGACCGTCTACTTCTAATCTATTTAATCAATGATTATAACCCTCTCGAGAAATGCCCGATTTTCTTCTATTATTTCCAAGATACTCTTTATCTTTATCTCAGAAACTATATTTCCAAATGCAAATCAGTATTTTCCTGCTTAACTGTTTATTGTCTACGTCTTAGGTGCATAAAACATAACATGTTATGTATATATATATATATATATATATATATATATATATATATATATATATATATATATATATATATATATATATATATATATATATATATACAGACACACACGCACACACATTTACATAAAAAAAAAACTTTTTAAACCACTCTACTTGAAATATTTTTATTTTAAAATATTTTCTTTAAACAAAAAAAAAAAACAAAAAAAAACAACAACAAAAAAACCCACTTTATGTTTAACACCGCAACAACAACAACAACAACAACAACAACAACAACAACAACAACAACAACAACAACAAAATTCAGTTGTCAGGTTTGAAGCAATTATTCTTCATAAGTTAAAAAACAAATATTTACTAGTCAGAAATCGTGCCAAACCCAATGAACTCTTATCACAAAAAGCTTGGTCTGTCTCCGCATAACGGCTAGTCACCTGCCGAATCCGTCTTAAAAAAAAAAAAAGTAAAGATCCCTTTTCACGCCTTTCGGCTCATCGGGCATATGGGCAGAGCGTCCCATATTTTTACAGACCATCAGCACTCTGTGGGTAATGTGGTCAGCATTACGCCGGCTGTCTTTACTTTCCCAGGACAGCCCATCCTGGTACCCATTTTAGGCTGACAAGGTACGAACTCCAAAACTTCAAAGACAATGCAATAGATCTTCCTAAAATTCCATGAATGTCTCTTTTTTTCCTTGTTCGCCGACTGTAGACTCCGGCGGAAAGTTCTGGTTGCTCTTTTACTTATGGACTGTGGTCCAGTTCCAGAACTTGAGTTTTGCGTGCACATTGGTTTTACAGATCTAGATTGCATGCAGACTGATAGTTCTTTGCTTTTCAGGCAGATGCATTCTTCGAAGAAAGTCCACACATGAACTGAACTCATACCCTAAAGCAACCAGGACCTTCAGAGCGCGACGTAAATGGCCTGACCACTTTACAGTTATGCATTGTAGGCTAAAGAGTATAATTTTTTAAAGCTCCGCTTGTAAACTCTTGTAACATATGAAATAATTTGTTCCGCTGGCAACATATAGTGCAGTCCTGCACGTTTCCTAGTTGTCTCTCTAGTAACATATGAAAGAATTTGTTCCGCTGGCAACATATAGTGCAGCCCTGCACGTTTTCTAGTAGTCTCTCTAGTAACATATGAAAGAATTTGTTCCGCTGGTAACATATAGTGCAGTCCTGCACGTTTTCTAGTAGTCTCTCTAGTAACATATGAAAGAATTTGTTCCGCTGGTAACATATAGTGCAGTCCTGCACGTTTTCTAGTAGTCTCTCTTGTAACATATGAAATAATTTGTTCCGCTGGCAACATATAGTGCAGTCCTGCACGTTTCCTAGTTGTCTCTCTAGTAACATATGAAAGAATTTGTTCCGCTGGCAACATATAGTGCAGCCCTGCACGTTTTCTAGTAGTCTCTCTAGTAACATATGAAAGAATTTGTTCCGCTGGTAACATATAGTGCAGTCCTGCACGTTTTCTAGTAGTCTCTCTAGTAACATATGAAAGAATTTGTTCCGCTGGTAACATATAATCAGTCCTGCACGTTTTCTAGTAGTCTCTCTTGTAACATATGAAATAATTTGTTCCGCTGGCAACATATAGTGCAGCCCTGCACGTTTTCTAGTAGTCTCTCTAGTAACATATGAAAGAATTTGTTCCGCTGGTAACATATGGTGCAGTCCTGCACGTTTTTTAGTAGTCTCTCTAGTAACATATGAAAGAATTTGTTCCGCTGGTAACACATGGTGCAGTCCTGCACGTTTCCCAGTTGTCTCTCTAGTAACATATGAAAGAATTTGTTCCGCTGGTAACATATAATGCAGCCCTGCACGTTTTCTAGTAGTCTCTCTAGTAACATATATAAGAATTTGTTTCTCTTGTAACACAAGGAAGAATTTGCCCCTCTTGCAACATAAGGAAGAATTTGTGCCTCTTGTAGCATATGGAAAAATGTATCTCTCTAGTAACATATGGAAGAATTTGTCCCTCTTGCAATATAAGGAAAAATTTGTCTTTCTGGTAACACATGAAAAAATGTGTCTCTCTAGTAAATATGGAAGAATATGTCCCGCTGGTAACATATGGAAGAATTTGTCCCTCTTGTAATATAAGGAAGAATTTGTCTCTCTGGTAACATATGGAAAAATGTGTCTCTCTAGTAAATATGGAAGAATATGTCCCGCTGGTAACATATGGACGAACTTGTCTCGGTGGTAACATATGGAAGAATTTGTCCCTCTTGTAATATAAGGAAGAATTTGTGTCTCTCTAGTAAATATGGACGAACTTGTCTCAGTGGTAACATATGGACGAATCTGTACATCTAGTAACATATTAAAAAATAGGGGTCTCCGTGATGAGGCGGTTAAGCTGTTTGCTCCACGGCCTGGAGGTCGTATGTTAATTTCAAAGATGGGTCGCTAGCTTCACAAGAGCAGTTTTTGCAGAGATCCGTGGGGGATCTTAGCCGGAGCTACGATATTCATTCTTTATGAGTTGCTCAAGACAGGTTGCTAGCCTTTCTGCAGAGAGAGACTGAGCCATATGGGATACAAATGCAGTGCAAATAAGTCGATCCTCCCGGCTTTATCTTTAGCATTATCCTTTGTAAAGCTTGTAAACTTGTATATTCCGAATGTTCTATACAACTTGTATCGTTCACCTACACTTTAACGAAGCTCGCTGTTTTGTGTACCTTCAGGTGTCAACATTGGGAGCATCCTAGCATCGGTGCTGTCTGGCTACCTGTGTCTGGTACCCCTGGACAATGGATGGCCTTTCGTGTTTTACACCTTTGGTAAGTATATCACAAGTCAAGGTTACTCAACATCCTCATGTGTCATGACGAGCGGCGTATGCTTCTTCTTTCCGTACGCCGGATGCAAACTCTGGCTGAAACTTCTGGTTACTTATCCACCTCCGGACTTAAGTATTGTTACAGAACATGTTTGCTGAGTGCACACCCATTTGACAGATCTGGCTGGTTTGTGTGTATGCAGACTCTTGGTTCCATGCCTCTCGGGCAGGAGCACTTCGACCTCGAGGGATGCCCCCAATTAGTCGACTCCTACAAGATTTATGGTAAGGTAGTGAGTCTATTTTTGTTTTCCGTACGTATTATAGGTCGTGTATTCGTTTTATGTCGGCGTCTGTGGCTTTGGCGTTGCCAACGGGCTTCATAATGCCAAAATGCCTTGTTTGATCCCGATTTTATTTTGGGCGTTGGTTTCGACAGTTGTACCCAGAACTGACCGTTTAGAGGCAATGGCAAATTACTGAACGTAAAATTTGCCTAGAAAACCCCCAAAATTAATCAACAAGTATTCTGGGGTTGGTTCTACAACGTCCTGTAAAGGATACGCAACTAACGTTCTATTCGTTTCATGAGATAGTTCGTTCGATTCACGAGTGCATTTGTTTTTTAAGTAAATCGCCGAGAACAGTCGCTGGAATTAAACAGTTACAAACTTACAGAAAACAATCAAATAGTTTTCCAGTGGATTCCGGCTCATTGCGGCATACCAAGAAATGAGTCAGCAGGCAGTCTTGCAAAAAATGGAATAAAGGCAAATGCAAGGAATTGTAGAGAGAACAGACTAACAGTAAACATCCATTTGACCCTATCAGCAGACTTGGCAGAAAGCAATATACAACACTTTCCCGTCAACGAACAGGACACTGCAGGCTAAACTACCACAAGCATAAAATAAAGACTACAGTCCCCACAGTGTGCCTGTCAAAAGACAACAAACACCTGAGCACGTTCTGCAGTTCTGCCCACTCTACCTACAACTTCGAAAAGACACCTTGCCTCAAGAGCAAAGTGTGCAGAGCAAGCTATGGGGAACCATGAAAGACCTGCTACTGACACGTGAGTTCATAGAGGCAACCCACCTGATGATCTGATCTGAGCATACGAAACCGAAAGCAAAGAAGAAGAAGAACAAGAAGAAGAAGAAGAAGAAGAAAAAGAAGAAGAAACACTACTTAATGTGTCCTCTTCAGAGGGCTAGCTAAGGCCCAGTCATAAGGGACCTAGTCGTTCGGTTTGAAACTGTTTTTTGTTGTTGTTTAATAATGCGGGAGTTCAGCTGAATCGCCACTAGGACCGCATCATCATCAACGGCACCACCACCACCACCACCACCATCATCATCATATTACCTACCGATCAGCGTAGGCTGTCATATTTCGCCATCATACATGATCATCAGAATAATGAATCATTTTAATGTTTTTGTCTCAGACCGGGCGGTTTGAAAACTGCCATTTTATGAGATTGCATCCGATGTCGTTTCCATCACCGGCTTCAGTTTTACCGTTGTGTGTGTGTGTATGTATGAAAATGCTGTCTATGTCCAAGGGCTAATTGTTAGCAAAGTGCATGGAAAGAATGATTTCTTCCATCTTTTTCAAGATTTAGTGTCCTGTTTCTTTTCAATTTCTCGTAGATTATTTTAGCAGAGAAAAAAAAAAAAAAAAAAAAAAAAAAAAAAAAAAAACAGATAAAATTAAACAAGAAATTAGAGAAAAGCAAATGATAAAGTAAAACATTAGGGAATTTGAAATTTTAAATTTCACCCAAAAATCTGACCCTCCAGAATGCAGCATTAAAGTAAATGGGACACCTCAAGCAAGTTGATATGTTTAAGTACTTGGGTATCCTGACAACCTCATATGGAAGATGTTTTAAAGAAGTTAAATGTGGAATAGCTCAAGCAAACACAGCATTTTACAAAATGAAGAATATTTTATGCCATCTTTCTTTGTCAGTTAAAACGAGAAAGAGAATTCTTAAAAGCTATATAAATCCTACATTGATATACGGAAGTGAATCATGGACGGTAGATTTATGAAAACTTGTTTAGAAGCTGTGGCGATGTGGTTTTACAGACAAATGTTGAGAATATCCTGGACAAATGACTAACGAAGAGGTCTTGAAAGAAACTGACTCACGAAGAGAACTGATTGTCCACATCATAAAGAGGCAATCTATATTCTTTGGTCATGTGATGAGAAAACTGAAGTACATCGTGACAGTAGGTAAGCTGGAGGGGGAGAAGAGGCAGAGGGAGACCGAGAGAACAGATGCTAGGCAGTCTGACATCATGGCATGGAGGATCATCTGTGTCAGAGTTGATTACAAGTTCACGAGACAGAAGGGTGTGTATAGCCACGGCTACCAACGCTACACGGCATGGACTATAAGAAGAAAAAGAAATAAGATAGCGAGGCAGTCATACAATATCCAGTTTCTTCCTTTTTAGGACGACATTTTTTGTTATTTGAAGCCCCACCCTGGCTTTTGCCAGGGGCCGCAATATCGGCAGGTCAAAAATATGGCCGATTGTCTGAACGCGGTTTCTGGGACCTCTCCACGGCGATCCTCATCCACATGGTGGCACTTTGTGTCATCGGGTGTTTATCGCTTGTGTGATGTCCTAGTGGGGTAGAAAGTCAGTTAGTCATATAGCGAGGTATGACTAACGAATTCATACAGAGTTTAAGACGTCCTGATAAAAATATAGACACTGCTATTGAAACAAAGTAATGCCACTTGTGTCGTCGCAACAATGAAAAGTAGCTGCATTATGTCTACCAAAGGAAATATAGGGGTGACTGCAGTCCAGCTAATACCAAAGAATTCCAGTGAAATGTGACTAAAAAGCCTAACGAAACGTGCATGCAGAAAAACGTGTTTCTAAATAGTCTAAAAAAACAGGGATGCAGAAAAAAAATGTGTGTTTCGTTAGGTTTTTTAGTCACATTTCACTGGAATTCCCTAACGGCGCTGGCCGGGCAGAATTTTTTGTAGTTAAAAATCTATCCAGAGTATTTCAGGATCCTCGCCGGTGCTACAGAGCCTGTGCACTGTGCTGAGCTTCTTCTGATTCAGACTTGAACGGAGGACTATCTTGCCTTATGTCAGTAAAACGTGATAATTGGAAGGTAACATAATAGTCACGTCCGGCCTAATGCTAACCACATTACCCCATCCAGAGCCGATTGGTCTGTAAAAATAGGGGACGCTCTTCCCGTGTACCCGATGCGCCTAAGGAGTGAAAAGGATCTTTTTTTTTTTTTTTAAACTTATGGTAATCACGTGGATAATTTTGAATTACCAGTGGAGATATGCATAGTCTAACTTGATAATGTGATTGACGTAATTCAAGGAAAATACTGAATTTTTATCCTTAATTATATGTTTCTTTAACTCTGTAAAAATGTACCTAATGAGATTCAGCAATATATTCCAGGCCAAATACGATTACTGTTGTTAGAATTATGAAGCTTTGTTCATTAAAAACCAAAAAAACTTGAAAGAGATGATGTGTGTTCCCTGGCATAGAACATGTAATCAATATCAACAGGGTTCATTAGCTTGATCTGGTGTCTTTGCTGGTACTTGCTGATCTCAGAGAAACCAGAAGAGCACCCGTACATCTCAGAGAAGGAGAAACAATACATCATAGCTCACAGATCCGGACTGAGTCAACCATCAGAGGGGGTAACATAGTCTCGTTCATTTTTTATACGTATTATTATGAACGATGGGAAAGTAGGAGTATGTACCCCTGTTTGGTTTCCGAAATCCATTTTGGGGAAAAACTATTATTTTGCTGTTTCTCAACAAGAATGTTGTAAAAGGCGACTAATTAAAGATTTTTTGAAATCGTATGTGTTGTGCCAGAATGAGCAGATGTCAAGCTGTAAACCACAACAGAACGTGCAAACCGCAAATTAATCGCTAACGCATAAGATGATACCATGGTGAGGATATGATGATGATGACGATGAAGAAGAAGAAGAAGAAGAAGAAGAAGAAGAAGAAGAAGAAGAAGAAGAAGAAGAAGAAGAAGAAGAAGAAGAAGAAGAAGAAGAAGAAGAAGAAGAAGAAAAAGAAAAAGAAGAAGAAGGAGGAGGAGAAGAAGAAGAAGAAAAGAAGTAGAAGAAGAAGAAGAAGAAGAAAAAGAAGTAAGAAGAAGAAGAAGAAGAAGAAAAAAAGCAGAAGAAGTGTTAATTCAGCCATAGTGCATTGGAGTATGGAAATATCCAGGTGTTGATAAAATAAACCTAATGTGCTGGATTTAATTTCTTCAGTTTTGTTTTCTTAAATTGCTCAGAACTAAACGAACGAACGAACGAGCGAGCGAGCGATCGAAAAGAGGAAACTATTCTTTTTCCCAAGGGCCAGAAATTTGGCACCCAGGCCCGTCTTACATTCAGCCTTCCAGATATTCATATTTGACACATTACCTTTTTTCTTTTTTTAACTTTGAAGCATTTTATGGTATGGGTATAGTGCATGCATATAGGGTGAGAGTAAAAAAGCGTATTTAACAAATACATGCATTCACATATACATACAGGCATGAACACACATACAAGCTCATATTCACACCCACGTTCCCCCTATACACACCAGTACAAATCGTCATACACACATGAATACAAAGTCCTCCAATTAAGTAATGAGACTGATTTTATTATGGCTAAGACAAAAATGCCTTCTATGAATCACAGCTTGGAATCCAAAGAGGCAACCTTCGTCTATGATCTGGCAAATTTTTATTGCCAACCGATAAGCAGACAACAAACAAGCCGCCGTTTTGTTAACCTAATCAGAGATGCATTGTTACGTAATTAGCATGAAGCATAACAAAATGCTAACATTAAATTATGTTTAAAACTCAGAAGCAGCTCCATTGTGACAGTTGAATTTATGCGGCAAGTTTATGGGGATAATTGTTTATGTCATGCACAGATTTTCAGCTGTTATTCACGATTCAAAAGTGGTGTGGAAATGATTACTAATGCAACTAGATCTGGACTCACATTTTCTGTTTGTAATAAGGGACTCATTGCAAAATTCCGAGAACGGATACAATAAGATCGTTGTTCGACTGTGAGGATGATGATAGATGAATTTGGTGTTAATACAGAGACTATTCATAAAATGTTAGTGGAAGATTTGGGCTAGAAACCAGTTGTTTACCGATTTGTATTCAACACCTGGCAATTTGTTTCTTCTTCATGACAACGCACCGGCTCGAAGGGCGGTCGGTGTACAGGAATTTCTGGCCCAAAAACAAGTGCATGTTCTCAACCATATACCCTATTACCCCGGATTTGTCTCCCTGTGACTATTTTCTATTCCCAAAATTAAAGTAGTCATTGAAAGAACGCTTCTTTGACGATATTGATAACACCCAAGGGGCCGTAATATCGACTTTAAGGGTCATAAAGACAAAAGAACTACAGAGTTAGTTCCATTGTTTGTTAGATCATGCCACTCACTGTATCAGTGCACAAGGGGCTTATTTTGAATAAAATACAGGTTATATCTTCAACTATTGAATATTTTAATTTTTATGGAATTAGTCTCATTACTTAATTGTCGGACCTTTTACACACACACTCACACAAACCTAACATATACACAGACGCACACCTACACAATAATTATTACACATATACTTATTCATATACATTTAACATACTATATCCTTGCGTCTTTTTTAGGACGTAATTTTTTGTTATTTGAAGCCCCACTCTGGCTTTTGCCAGGGGCCGCAATATAGCCAGGCCAAAAATATGGCCAATTGTCTGAACGCGGTTTCTGGGACCTCTCCACGGTGATCCTCATCCACATGGTGGCACTTTGTGTCATTGGATGTTTATCGCTTGTGTGATGTCCTAGTGGGGTAGAAAGTCAGTCAGTCAGACTCATTCATATTATACATGTACTCACGCATACATACGTATACATATATACTCTTAAATAAACAACGTACACACCCGCACATAGATGTATATGTGGACACATATATTTATACACACATTTATATGTATGTGTGTATAAATATGTATGTCCACATATACATGTATACTTGTGTGTGCTATGTTTTTTGGTGTGTGTGAGTGGGTGTGAGTATGCGTGGGTGTTTATAAGTATGGGCTTGTTGTGTATGCATACATTTGAGATACTTTTTATATTTTGTACTTTAAATCATTAAAAATGAGAATTGTCAAATATTATGTATTCTCAACCTTACTGTATGGCACAGAGACATAGACAATGAACAAACAACTGGAAAATCGTATCAATTCTTTGGAGATGTGGATATACAGAAGATTAGGTCGTATTTAATGGAAACAAAAGCTATCAAATACAGAGGTACTGAGGAAATTGGGAATCAAAAGAGAGTTGCTAGGGGAAATAAAAAAGAGACAAGTGAAATATTTTGGCCACATTAAAAGACATAACAGTATTGTGAAGATCATCCTAGAGGGAAAGGTTCAAGGTACTAGATAATAGGCAAGCAGGGTTATAAGTGGGAGGACAACATCAAGAGATGGACGAACAGCAGTATGAGTGAGTGTACATCAAGGGCAAGAGACAGGGCTTGTTGGAGATCCATTGCAGCCAACCTTCATTGTGGAGACGGCACCTGATTGATTGTTTGACTTTCAATCTATATTCATACCCTTTACTGATACAATATGCTATACTATATGAACATAATTTGCCTTGTATATATATATATATATATATATATATATATATATATATATATATATATATATATATATATATATATATATATATATATATTGTTGTAATCTTATAGTCCAAGAGTTAAAGTTTCTTCTAGTTTCTTCTAGTGGTCACAGCGCAGGTGAAAGGTTCACACAGCGGCCACCGGTCGGGTCTGTTACCTGGGATACCAGCTAATTGAATGCTGGGCGATTAACACAAAGGCTCCTGCAGAACACAAAGGATTCGGCAGTCAAGATATTTCCCTTGTTCGAAGCAGACGTTCCCTCTTTGTGAGGTTTTATTTAATTAACCGTACTTACACGGGAGACAGTTTAATGTCTATTTATTTATTATAATGGCAGGAGTCCATTGAGAAAAGAGTGTAATTCTTTTATATTCTCAGAGTAGATAATAGGGAGTTATTATCGTACGTTTTATTGAATAATCATCATCATCTTGTGACGTGTAACTTTAATGCCATTAAAGTTTATGTGGCCTGTCACAAGCGTTATTGTTGACTTGTAAAGATAGCAACTGTGTTAGATGATGCTGGGCCAAATGGGCCAGTTATAGTATGCAGGACTACACTGTAGCACATCCATCAAGGAGATATCCAGCGGAGTACTAGAATAGGCACCCTAGGCCTAAATACTTGGTTCTTGAAATTACAGTGTACTACAACAAAGTGTACAACAAATTAAGTGTACAACATATATATATATATATATATATATATATATATATATATATATATATATATATATATATATATATTATATATATATATATATATATATATATGTGTATATAGATATCTAGTTAATGTGTGAAAGATGAGCGTCTGGAAAATCGGAGTGCATGATTGGCCTAGGTGCTCTGACCCTTGAAAAAAATAAAAATTTCCTTTTTTTTGATCGTTCACTCATTCTTCGTTCAGTTTTGAACATTTGTGTTACAATAGAAAGATGGAAATAATCAAATCCACCACATTAGGCTTCTTCTATATATGTATATATATATATATATATATATATATATATATATATATATATATATATATATATATATATATATATATATATATATATATAAATATGCCCGGCTCCCTAGCGTAGTTGGCTAAACCGGATTGCGCGGAGACCGGGTGAAGAACTCCTTGTGGTCTTGGTTCAATCCCGGGATAGGCAGGAAATCCACATTTCTCCTAGATTTACGGTATTTACAATGGTATCAAGGCCGAGAGGTTGCGATATCCACAATAACGAGCCTAAGGGTTAACAACTCATGGCTTCTGGATACTAAAACAAACAAACAAACAAACAAACAATATATATAGATATGGACACATATATGACAAGCTAGATATTGTGAGGGCCCTCTGGGAGTGAGGAAACAGTGCGGAAGCGCAAATAAATCATTACTGTCTGAGGAGAATGGCGCTCTAGGGAGTTCCCAGTGGATCTGGCAGACGCTCAACACACAATTGAAAGGCGAGACGGATGCAATCGGAGAGCTACTGATGTCATAGGAACTGGAACTCTCCGTTTGCTGCTGAAGATGAGAACGGAGCGCTTATAGGAGTTTCCTGAGTGCTATGACGTCAATTCCTAATTCAACATTTAACATTCAACATATATATGCACATACACAGACACACACACACACAAACATATACTACACACATACTCGTACATGCACACACTCTACATAATATACACATTAATAAATCCACTTGCACACACACACACTCACTCATACTTTCACATCCACACAAATAGAACGGAATGGAGGTGTCGACGGTGAGCCTTATTTAAGGACAGATCATGATTATTGTGATGACAATGTATAGTGATGACAATGTATAGGGATGACAATGTATAGTGATGACAATGTATAGTGATGACAATGTATAGTGATGACAATGTATAGGGATGACAATGTATAGTGATGACAATGTATAGTGAGTGATGACAATGTATAGTGAGTGATGACAACAAACAATGTATAGTGATGACAATGTATAGTGATGACAATGTATAGTGATGACAATGTATAGGGATGACAATGTATAGTGATGACAATGTATAGTGAGTGATGACAATGTATAGTGAGTGATGACAATGTATAGTGATGTCAATGTATAGTGGTGACAATGTATAGGGATGACAATGTATAGTGATGACAATGTATAGTGAGTGATGACAATGTATAGTGAGTGATGACAATGTATAGTGATGACAATGTATAGTGATGACAATGTATAGTGATGACAATGTATAGGGATGACAATGTATAGTGATGACAATGTATAGTGAGTGATGACAATGTATAGTGAGTGATGACAATGTATAGTGATGACAATGTATAGTGATGACAATGACGATGATGCTGGTTACGATGGTGATGACGATAACTGAATATTATGTCAAGTTATGCCAAAGAAAGACTTATCTACTTGAAGGTAAAAGTGAAGCTGCCATATCGCCAGCTGCTGACATCAGGTCCTGTCCTCGCCTACTTCGCTACAACAACTTGCCATGTCTGGTCCACCCTGCTTGTGTTTACCTACCTACCCTTGTACTTCAACAAGGTGATGAAGTTTACCGTCCAGGAGGTAAGAACAGTTGATGAATCCTATTATTATTAATATTATTTTTATTACTATTATTATTATTATTATTAAACAACGCTGGAAGACATGAATTACCTGAAGTGACATTACCTGATGTCGCAATGGAAGGTGACCAAAATAGGAGAGACCAAATATACCTTTTGTTAAATGACGAACAATTTGTGCAATAACCCCAGATGGAGGTTAGGACAAGAATTATCGCATGCAATATAGAGCCAGTTTGAACATACGGCTGTGAATCCTGGATAATTAATAAACAAGCCGAATAACATCTTGAGGCCTTGGAGATGTGGTTTTACAGAAGAATCCTTAGAATTCATTGGAAAGCCCTGATGTTTTTAAAGAGGCGACAACTCATCACAAACATCACGAAGAGACATTCATCATTTGTTGGTCATGTTATAAGAAGAGGGAAGCTAGAACATGTTGTGACCACTGGAGAGATCTGTGGAAAGAGAGACAGAGGAAGACAGGGCGAGACAATTCTTGACAGCCTTTTGTCAAGGCACGGGGGGGGGGGGGGGGTGGGGGTGTCACCCTCACACATCTGACTTTTCCAACTAGGTTAAGAATGATTTTATGTCCACCCGAACGGTCTGTCTACACATGTGTGAACTGTACACGTTGTTATATCCACTAGACAGGACTGCTGGTTTCTCTGACGTCCACATTTAGAATGATTGGGACCTTCATTTGGACGGTAATCGGAAACAAGCTCGTGTCTGTGGTCAGCGTCAACAAATCCAGGAAAATATGTATCTGTTCTGGTAAGTAGATCTTCTTTCCTATTATAGGGCGCTGGAATATGAGATCTAAAGCCTTTTAAACGTTATGCATTATACGGTGTGTGTATATGTGTGTGTGCGCGCGCGCGCGTGTGTGTGTGTGTGTGTGTGTGTGTGTGTGTGTGTGTGTGTGTGTAAGTGTATGTTTTAGGCGGGAATGGAGAAAGTTCGGGTGCGTAAAAAAAAAAAAAAAAAAGAATTAGTCTTTTTAAGCACATTATTTGTTTCATGTTTGTAAACTGATTATATATGTGTTTCATATTATTGTAATGATATTTTGACGTTTTCTTTAAATACATTTTGTGTTTTTTATACTTACAAATTATGCACTTAAACAATGCTTATGCCTCCTTAGCCCACCCGTTTCCTGCAATTATTCCTTAGCTTTTTCCTTCTTCGTTCCTTCTGTCTGCTTTTCTCTTTCTCTCTTTTTAAATTCACATACCTATAAGTCTTAGCCGCTCCCCCCCCCCCCCCCCCCCAAAAAAAAAGTCAAAGGAATTACTTCCTTGCGTGTAATGAGTTGCAGGGTTATTTCCCCTCCCTCTCCCACACCACAAACACATATAAACGGCGATTTCGATTGGTCTATAGTTAGCAGCAGTCTGAACGTGGTCGAGATTTTTTTTTTTTCAAAAGGACTTGGACTTGGTCTATAGTGAAATGATTTTAGGAGCATAATCCCCATGTAAAACAACAAAGAACGGTCCTTAAAAGGGTCCTTTACTTTACTTACTTACATTATGTAAGACAACGTGTCCTCCCATAATGGAGTATAGGTTATTTGGTAAGCATGTGTTATGCCCTAATATAACTGTGCTATATGGAACTGATGTATGACAAGCTGAATGTTGTGAAGACCCTTTGGGAGCTAGTGAACAGTGCCGAGGCACAGACAGATCATTACGGTCTGAGGAGAATGGCACTGTGAGGAGTTATAAGCGGACCTGGTCAACGCTTGACACTCAGGGTAAAGGCGAGACGGATATACAATCAGACAGTTACTGGTACCATCGGAATTTTAACTCTTCGCTGGGGGTGTCCCGAGTGCTGTGATGTCGATTCTAATTCAAGATTCAACATTCAACTGTGCTATATGATGGCTATACCGTGTAATGGCTTTTCTGTGATTTGTTGCTGTTTAGTTCACTGATAAAGATGACGTCCAAAAGAAACGATCAAGCGAAAGTTAATGAGAGAAGCCAAAGGTGCTGGACTGAATTTCCTCCATGCTGTCGAAGTGATTACACAGGACACAATGGAATGGAAAAAGATATTGCCAGACCTATGTCTTTTATAATACGAGTAGCATAATAAAGCGAAGAGTGACTATAAGTCCCGTTTTTCACCAGCACAGTTCGGTTGTAGGAGTCGCCGTGACGTAGGGGTGAGACACTCGCGTGCGGATCGGAAGGTCGTAGGTTCACTCTCTGGCGGAGCCGACATTTTTTTTTTTCAAAAATGACCTTGACTCCTAGGTCGACTCAGCATGAGTGGGTACCGGGGGCAGCCCCGAGAAGTAAAGGCGGCCGGTGTTTTGCTGACCACATCATCACCCATCTTGTGACGATTGGCCTATAAAAATATAGGTCTAGCCCTTTATGCCGTATACGCCTACAGGTGTGGAAGAGGGACCTTTACTTACTACTTAGATTCCAGTTGTTAGATGCCTGCCGGCCATTCTGTCGGTATGTGTGTGTGTGTGTGTGTGTGTGTGTGTGTGTGTGTGTGTGTGTATATATATATATATATATAAAATCAGGCGCTGATATGACTGGAGGTAAGACAACATGACACCACTCTAACGTTCAAGAGGTTGAGATGTGTAGATGGGCCTGTAAACGTGAACAGGACCATATATATATATATATATATATATATATATATATATATATATATATATATATATATATATATATGATGTTAGAAACTAATACATACAGTTGTATGTATATCTTTGAATCGGAGACATAGTTAGAAATGATAATATCAAACAGAATGCAGAAACAACACCAGGCAGCAAATTCACGAAGAAACAGAAGATCAAATGTTTTGGTCATTTAGTAAAAATGGAGTCAGAACAACTACCAACAGAAGCGAAATAACATGAAAAGATCTCAAGTAAAATCAGGAGGCCGCCCTAGTAGAACATGGACTGATGATATTAAAGAACTTCTACATTGACACGGAATGACAACAGGTACCCCTGCCATCGAGCAATGGGTGCAAACTGTTCCTCACCGCAAAGTTCAACGGCAAAATAGACATTGATGATGAAGATGATGATGACAGTTTTAGATACATGTAGTGTCCGAAATTTGTTGCTAGAAATGTACACTGTAGGATTGCTTTCAGTGCAGTTAAAAAATACTTTGATTAAATTACTTCTTGGCGATACTGGCTCAGGTTTTAATGCAAAAATGTTATTGTATGTTCTGTTGTCATCTCAAGCTATTATGGTCACCCTAACAATAAGACATTAAATGAATAAAAAAAAAAAGGAATAGTCTTAGCCATATATACATATATATATATATATATATATACAGCGAGCCACTTTAGAGCACTCGATAGGAGATTAACTTTCAAATCCAGCTACGACTCGCTGAAACCCACGGCCGGTGTTCGAAATCGGACGGTTGCGGGGGTTCACCCAGCCTCTAGGAAATAGGTACCAGAGTTGACACTCTGGGATAAGTGTAGCTGTAGCTACGTAGTTACGTGTGGAAGGCGACACAGGCGGACAGTTTTTTTAATCAGCTGCCCATACTGGTGGCAGAGCACTTATGGTTTATTGTAGTGTGCAATGACGAAGGTTCACAGCTCCCGCCTTTACCTTTATATATATATATATATATATATATATATATATATATATATATATATATATATATATATATATATATATATATATACTAGCTGTACCCGGCCACGCGTTGCTGTGGCATAGTTTGGCTAAATGGAAATGAAAGAAAATAGAAATCGCACGTATCTAATACAATCATTGTCTGCTCAGATATAGAAATAGTCTTTGACCCCCCCCCCCCTCCCACCACAACTAAATCCACCTACTACTCTCTCCCTCATCAAAGGTATTTGGAAAAGAAAGACAATGAAAATCGCTCGTGTCTAATATATTTAACGTCGCAATCCTTCTCTGCGCATATATAGAGATAGTCTGGTTTTCCAACTTTAGAAAACGCACCATATAATTGTGTCTTTATATTAATGGTCGTTTAAATGGTGTTATTAGCACAGTAACAAAAATGGTTATTTGGTTATCACATGCTTAAGCTGATTGTATTTTTATAGGAGACGGAAGTAAAGCTACAGCTGTACTTGTAAATAACAAAGTCAGTCGTAAAAAAAAAATTGAATAGCGGAGGTAGCGTTAGTAAAATATAAACAAATTAAGTAATGAGAACTTGAAAATCACGTGTAAAGCTCTTTAAGTTCGCTTAAATTTAGGTCATTACACACCTCCCCTCCCCTCTTCCACCGACTACTACTTTCTCCCTCTTCGAAGGATTTGAAAATCATCACCTGGCGATATTTTGTTGGTGCTGTAACTGACATTGACATCCCTGTCCATCGTAATAGGTAGTGAATGGGGCTAGTGTAATATTTACCACATCATCCTTCAAGTACCAGTACAACTACTACCACGACCACCACCACAGTAGCTAAAATAATGTCACTGCTATCTGTTTTACCATCTGAGTAGACAGGGAGTCGTGAGCCAGAAGATTTTGTGCCCCATAGTTACTGCTGTCGCCACGGACTGGTCAGGTTAGGATGTATAATTTCGCTTCCCGACAGAAAAACGCCATAACCTTACCGGCAGTCTTCAAATGAGAGCACTACGGTGTGACATCCCAACCACAACTACTACTGCTGTTGCTACTTTGATTGGGTAAATCAGTTACTGTGACTTAAAGCTCTCTTAGTAAACAGTTTGCCCCCCCCCCCCCCGCCAAATTCACCGACTACTCTTTCCCTCATTGAAGTAGTTGGGAGAAAAAGCCCCCAATTGAAAAGCAAATGAAAACAGGAAAAATACACCATAATTAGGAAATGATCGCTATGGTAAACAGCACAGCTTGAAATTCCAACGCAGATGAAATAATTAAATCTAAATGAAAATAAATGGAAAGCTATGAAATTTCAACATAACCATGCAATTGTAAAGTTTAGAAATGAAATCATAAGTATGCGAAATGGTCAAATTTAATTATCAACTGATTTACCCACATACCTGTCCTTTTTTTTTTTTTTTTTAAAGTATTAAGGGCCACATGGCTAGTGCTGTCGCCACGACAGTGCAGGTGATGAGAGAACAAAACTATTTGAGATGTGTGTCCCTACTACAGTGTCCCGATTATAATACAACTCAAAACAGCAGACGATTCTTTTCTCGTAGACAGATATATTATTGAAACGGCACAACAAAAGAAATCGCACGTGTCTAACACGGTTAATGTCGCAGTCAATGTCTGCGCCGACGTCGAGATAGGCCTTGATCCCCCCCTCCTTTTTTTTTTCCTTTTCCCCTTCCAATCCATCGGCTACTTTTGAACTAATCGAAGGCTGTTAAAAAAAAAAAATTGAAATCGTGTTTAATATGTTTATTGTGGCAATCATTGCCTGCACAGATAAAGTCTATATATCTTGTTTGCTATACCACGGCCTACTCTAGTTATTAAAGAAGGCGTTGGCTGTACGTATCTCGCCGGCGAATGGTGGAAGTCTTGTGTTCTGACTACGGCGCATGCGCATTTACTAACGTGGCTATAATTAAATGTCACTAAAAATGGAAATATTAGTTTCGAAGATTTTCCCAAAAATTGTCGCACGCTATCTCTAACAATGACAGGTTTAATTTCAAACCATGATGGGTAAACATCCGGTATCAAAACAAACATATCCTGAAAATTTCAGCTATTTCGGTTCAGTAGTTTCCTAGTCTATAGCTCATAAACAAACACACAAACATTGATTTATATATATATATATATATATATATAAAATTCCATGCTTGTTTGCCAGGCTTTATGCTGGGAGGGGTTACGGCAGTAATCGTTGGATTCTTCGACCACAACTATAAATGGCTGGTCTTGGGTCTGCTAATTGTTCTGATGTTGGCCCAGTCGGTTGGCTCATGCACGATTTCCGCGTTACCTCTGGACATTGCACCAAGGTAAGATTGCACTAGTGGTCAATAGCCATAGCGGGTAAACTTACACGTGTTAGACTTCTTCTTTGTCATTTCCTCTTTTACTACGTTTGTGTCGAAAGAGATATCATGTTCTAGTTCTTGATTTACATGCCGAGGCAAGCATAGATAGACACATCGTAATATTGTAGTCTCTCTGAGGTTATATTTCCATCTTGTTCTTGGTCTACCTTGTGCTCTGCGTTCTTCTCCTTTTGTTGTGTATGCCTTGTATGAGACATCGTCACAAGCATTCTTTCTTTAAAAAAAAAAAAAAAAAAAATTGGATATCTGGTTTTTTAATGTGATATTTATAATTGGGTTCTCTTAAGACATCATTCCTGATTTATATTGATTGTATCTCTTCCAGTCACTCCTGCAGCCCTTCTAACACATCTCACTTCCACGGTTACAGTATTTTTTTTCTTTTCTGCTTTGTTGTGAACGACCATGTTTGGAACTGGCATAGAGTGGGAATACATATGCTGCGCAAGTTTTACATTAGATACCAATAAGGAAACAATGGTTTGCCTACGTAAAGGTATTGTCTACAAATGTAGGACAATACAAAGAATATACACAAATAGAAGGAAGTAAAACCTTAGGTAGATCAAGAAAAAAAGAGGTATCAGATAATTTATTTTACATGTTCTAATTCTTGTCAATATTTTTATGTTCATGCCAATAAGCGTAGACGGCCGTGTGTTGCCATCTCACAGAATCTCCCTCCACAATTTCACAATGTTATCAATATATTTGCCTCTTAGCCTTTCTTGTGGTCTTTTCCCCATCAATGTTGCCAGTTGAAATTCTTGAGTCCATTCTCTTTCCTAATAGCCCCAAAACTATAACACTCTTTTTCTGACTGCATCGGACATATTTTTATTTTTGTATAGGTGGTGTTTTGGTTTACATTTACTTGGTCTCCAGTCCTCTGAAGTCGGAGTGAATCTGTCTGAGAGGCCAGTAGCCAACAGTCGGTATAAAAATAATCCAAATCTTTAATACGGTTACACGCAAATCTCGCTTTCTTGAACTAGACTGATGTCGAGAAGTGGGCGAGCAACCAGGACTTTAGTTTACAGCCCGTGAACACCAAAAGAAAGAAGAAGAACTGTTCTTCACAAAAAATCTCGAGCCATTGAAGCTCCTAACACCAGCTATGAGATTATGTAGTGATTATATCATAGACCTAACAAATATCTAAGACCTAAAACAGGTGGTAACGAACCGCCAGACATAGAGAGCTATGACCTCTGCCCTATTCGCCGTCCTAGGCTAAAGAAGAAAGACTGACTAATATCAGTGATTGCACCGGGACTTTCCTTCACCTGAATTTGTTCATGTGGCATTTCATGATGAATTTGTGTGGAAAATGTTTGCAATTTCAAGTGTATTGTTGAATTTCAGAGATCTCCATTGTGAAGTATTCAAGCCATTTCCCTCATGATATGAAGGTCGTGGGTTCGTTTCCCTTCCGCATCGCTCGGTTCACATGAGCAGTTTGTAAGGTGAACTCAGTGGATCGTCTCAAAGCAACGGATTTCCTACGTTTCTCTGATGAGCACGGATCCTCGTTAAAGTAGCCGCTAAACACTCACCTTCTAGCCGGAAAGATCTAGGATTCAAAACTACATCGTGGCATATTTTTTTTTCCCCCATACACACCCTAACTACTAGCGCGATCCAAGCTAATATTGGCACCAAGTAAAGTCTTGGAAAGTAAACGCATCCGAACTGATGATGATCGAATCGTCATAACCGCTGAGTGCCAAATGGTCAATAAAAATAGGAGTCTTGCACCACGTACTCCTGGGCACAGAGACGTGCAAGGAAATGAGCAAGCTGATGGGCTTGCAGGCAAAGCTGCCTTGGCGGTCAGACGAGACGAGGACCAGGCTGATATTCTGAATGCTCTACGAGAAGTAAGACGTTTGCGAAAAACTAGTGATGATTGTGAGTCTGCAACAATGACTAGTCTGCAAGAAGAAAATGTTAAAAATAGCACTATGCAGGAAGCCAAAGAAGAATGAGAAACCAACACAGAACTTATGTCTTGAGCCGCTACTCGCTGCGGAATTTACTAAGGAGGGGGTCCGCGCACTTATGGATTGAAGTGTCCCATGTGCAAGTAGGATAATCTATCGACTAAATAACCATATGCCCGGCTCTCTAGCGAAGTTGGCTTAACCGGATTGCGCAGAGACCGGGTGACGAACTACTTGTGGTCCGGGTTGACTCCCGGGGGTAGGCAGAAAAGCCACATTTTCTCCCAGATTTACGGAATTTACAATGGAATCAAGGCCGAAAGGTTGCGATATCCATATACCGAGCCTAAGGGTTAACAACTTATGGCTTCTGGATACTAAAACAAACAAACTAAATAACCATTAATTTGAGGCGTCCCTGGCATGTAAGAAGTCTTTGACAGTTTCTGTTTTTCCACAGATATGCTGGCGTGTTGACTGGGATGTGTCTCTCTTTTGCAAGCCTGATCGGTATTTCAGGGCCCCTGCTTGCAGCTGCTATTACCCCAGAAGTGAGTAGAGACGATCTACATTATTTGGTCATGTCATAAGAAGAAGACAACTTAAGTACATTTACAGGGTGGGGGTGGGGGGGGGAGGCAGAGGGAGACCGAAAGAGAAGTTGTTGGACATTTAGACATGAAATCGCGTAAGATTATGTGTTTCAGAAATAAGTAAAAGTACACGAGAAAGAAAGCTGTGGATAGACATAACTGTCACACCACATCTAATATAAGAAGAAGAAGTTGAGACAATCTACGCGAGAAAGAAAGCTGAGGATAGTCATAACTGTCACACCACATCTAACATAAGAAGAAGTTGAGACAGTCTACGCAGATGTGGTTTAAAACAGGAATAATGTGAACACAACGGAGCGATTCACAAATGTAATCATCATCATTAAGTTTTAATATTTGCCATGAAGCGGCATAGGAAGGAACAGTTTTCATCCAATGCTATTGTTGTACCTCGTCGATCTAGAACAGCGGTTCTCAACCTATGGGTCACGACCCTTTTGGGGGTTGAACAACCCTTTCACTGGGGTCGCCTAAGACCATCGGAAAACACATATTCACTGAAGTTATGAAGCAGCAACGAAAATAATGTTATGGTTGGGGTCGCTACAACATGAGGAGCTGTATTACAGGGTCGCCGATATAGGAAGGTTGAGAACCACTGATCTAAAAGGTCTTTAATGTTATTAGCCCATCTTCTTTTAGGGTATTCTAATGAATTGACCGAACCGTACGATCTTCTGTTTCTCAATGCACTCTCTGTCTTATAACATGATTTCTCACTTTGTCTCTGAGATTATGATGCGTAAAATAGGATCTTAACTTTTGACAATTAGTTCAATTGTTTCTTCTTTGTTTCTTAGGGAACCCAGGAAGAATGGCAAACAGTATGGATTGTCATGGGTTGTGTATTTATCACCGGATTTGTCATATTTTTATTGTTTGGTCAAGCCACCCTGCAGCCCTGGGCCACCGGCACAGAAGCCCAACATCCAAACATAATGTCACCGTTTGTGACAATGGCACGCAGGTTTTCCACCTTCCTAGAAGCGCCGCCATTGTCGCCAGTGACTCCTCGCGATAAAGGCTTCAATTTTTCTATTAACTACTCGAGTCAATCTGCAATTGTGTTGACACAACTAGCAACCGCAACTCCGGATATATATTACACTGGAAATTTTGATTTGACTAAATCCATTGTTCCAGAAAACAATTTAGTACCAACGCCAGAGAACCAGGAGTCAGAGGACAATGAAAGCAGTGAAAATGATGATAGCAAATATGAGAACGAAAATGTCAAACAAATTAAGGAAGTCCGAAGGAGAGCATATTCTGAGTCAGTTTTGGATGTATATAAATCAAATATAGCGCAAGAAACTATAAAAGAGGAACAAGGACTAGCGTTTGGGTTTGACTGGCAGAACAAGGTGGATAGAAGCGCCGCTGGAGAGACTACAACAGAGACTCAAAACGTACAGACGCAAGGGATAGATAACAACGCTTACGAAAATCAGGAAAATGTTAATGAGGTAAACTCAGATGGTACTCAAATCGCACGTCTTTAAATTATACGCAAGCCGTCAAAGATAGTGTTGGTTTATTTCTTTTGCGATCCACTGCACGTTGGATGCCACTGGCTATTGTCGTGCGGTGATGGCGTAAAGTGTCTTTAATGTTGTCGATCCATTGTTTTTCGTTGCAGTTCTCTTGCTCTTGAAGCTGATTTTCTGAGATGTAGTTTTTGTGATGGAATTTAATGTTGCTGCGTTCTAACGAGATGGTCAGACCACTTGATCAGCCGTTTCTCGATGCGTCTATTACAAGGTGTGGTTGTTCCCACAATATGTCTATATTATTATTCATTCGATCTCGGATGATTAGGCTAGCCGTTTTTCTCGGGCATTTCATTTGGCAAGTGTGTTTATTTTGCGTCCATAGGCTTTAGATTTGGGGATACTAATAACAATTATAATATTACCTCCCGACTACACCCAAATTTTAATTTGTGTTATTAACCGAGAGCCATTTTTAAGTTATTCGTGTTCTTCTTCTTCTGCCTTTCTAGCCCCCAATGGAGCATAGGCCCTCAACTAATTCAAACCAAGTCGTTCTATCCTTTGCGATCACATGCAGCTTTCACCATGTCCTTTCTATCTTTCTAACTTTATTCTCCAGCTCCCTTCTCCTTGTGTTTTTTTGTGTGTCTTCCTTTATTCCTATGCCCCTGTGGGTTCCAATGCAAAGACATTCTAGTTATATTGTTCTCCGGTTTTTTCAGTGTGTGTCCTATCCAACGCCTGCGTCTTTTCTTCACCTTTTGGTCTACTGGAGCTTGCGTAGTTTTCTCCAAAAGCTCTACATTAGGGATTCTGTTATACCATTTAATTCTCTCTATTCTGCGCAGGCACCAGTTAATGAATATCTGTAGTTCATTAATAATCGCCTTAGTTGTTCTCCATGTTTCCGCCACATACAAAAGTACTGATTTGTCATTTCGTGTTACCAAGGTTTTAATATCTTATACACTCTGTTAGGATTTCTGTCAAACAGAATTGTGTATCCTCTTGCTTCAGTGATCATTATGGTCCCTGCTTCTATTGCTATATTATGGTATATTATTTAAAATTATCACATTCGGTGTCACAGCACATGCTCATGCATTCTCACTCCTTCGAATCAGAGGCTGCTCTAAGGTACCTCTGCCACAAGGAGCTGAATATAATGTCTTCTAGCTCGGCCTCTAAAGTTGCATTGACGTGCTCCGTCACGTTTTACTCCCATGTCATGTAATCGTGTTACTGTTATAGGACAACAGATGATACATTGCACTGTTTTATTTTGTTTATCTGTTTCGCTACCTTTATTAATTAACGTTGTTAGGTGTGTTTTGTTTACCCTGTTTCTCTACATAGATTTAAATTTGGTTAATGTTGTCTAATCTGTTTTTTTTTAATTCATTAAAAATTGTAGTTGTATTTTGTTTACCTGGTTTTTCTACGCTCATCAAAATTTGTATAATGTTTTGTTTACCTGTTTCTCTACATTTATTTATATTTTGTATTGTATTTTGTTAACCCTGTTTCTCTGCACTCATTAAAAAATGTAGTATTAGTGCGTGGCCTTTTTTTTTTGTTCATTCAATACAGATTTTGTGTGTATTTTGCTTATACCATTTTGTCTACACTCATTAAAATTTTTTAGTTGTGTTGTGTTTACCCCGTTTCTCTGCACACATTACAATTTGTATTCGCGTTTTGTTTACCTTGTTTCTCTGCAATTATTAAAATTTTTAGTTGTGTTTTCTGTACCCTGTTTCTCTGCACTCATTAAAATTGTTGGTTGTTTTTTGTTTACCCTGCTTCTCTGCATTTATTAACATTTTTAAGTGTGTTTTGTTTACCCTGTTTCTCTACACTCGAAGAAAAGGCAAGACAGACATATAACCAAACTGCTACTGCAACTGGAATTGGAAGTATTCGCTTGCTGCTGAGATAAGGACGTAGCGCTTGTGGGAATGTCCTGAGTGTTATAATGTCAGCTCTGAGTTAAATACTCGACTAGTATATCCTGTTTGCACCAGTAGTGAACGGACATATGATGCTAGGCTGATGCTTTTATAGAGTATGTCATTTGGTCACCTTTACTTCCTCCCAGGACAATGCACGGTACCGATTTCAGGCTGAGCCAACCTAGGAGCCAAGGTCAGATTTTGAAAACAGATCCGTGGATTCGAACACAAAACCGTGGGAGGCGTTGTGAGCATGGCACATCCGTTTTTTTTTTTTTTCAGAACACCTAGTTATACATACACAGTTGCGGAAGAAAGACTAGTTTTAAGTCATGATAGAGAGGATCTACTTTATTGCACCAAATTGTATCCCTTTTGTCTCTCTCAGTATGACAGCTAACTGCCTGTCAAGAGATCTACACAAATCACGAAATCCGCAGCTCCAGCGATTACCCCATGATCTGTGTTACACTCGTTACCCGAACAACACAGTACATGAAACGAACCCACTACCTTCAGAGCCTTAGGCAAACCGCTTGACCATATAGCCATGGAGAGTACTGAAGAAAATAGAGCAATCAAAGTTATAACAGAAGATTAGAAGAAAATAGAGCAATCAAAGTTATAACAGAAGATTAGAAGTCAAACTGCTGTACAGAACAGTGGAATGCCTCACTACATCAGGCCGTGAATGGTAAATAACAGTGATGCCAAAATGCATTAAAAAAATGATGAATAAGAGTAGACCACAAGGTATTTGATAAAAAAAAATAAAAAATAAAAACAGCTTGGATATAAAATACATTTGGCATAGAGGCATGTGTCACTAATCGGAAAGGGAAGATCAAATACAGAGATTATTTGAGAGGGGTTATTTCAAGGATAATGAAACGCGGGGTTCCGACTGCTGAAGATGAAAAAGAGAAGAAGAAGAAGAAGAAGAAGAAGAAGAAGAAGAAGAAGAAGAAGAAGAAGAAGAAGAAGAAGAAGAAGAAGAAGAAGAAGAAGAAGAAGAAGAAGAAGAAGAAGAAGAAGATTCATGTAGGAATCTGTCTTTTTGAGGTGGTGGTTATTTTTGGAGTAACATGTGTCCTTATAAACATCACAGTCTGTCTGAAAGAAACTCGGTCTCTCGCCAGTTCTCCCGCCTCATGCACTTTCATTCTCAAGGAGTCACTTATATCCTGTTCCCATTTTCGTGTCGGTCGGCCCCTGCCCCTCCTTCCTGGTACCATGCCTTCTGCTATAATTTTTTCCAATCCGTCGTAGCGCTTGATATGACCAAAATATTTCAGCTTTCGAGAAAGAATGCTGTTTATTAGCCAAAATCTTCCTTGATGTTCAGACCTTTCAAGATGTAAACATTTCTCATCTTCTTTGTCAAAGATATTCTGCGAATCTTTCAATAGCATTTCAGCTCAAAAGCCCATATTCTCTTTCTTAAGGACTGAGAGACAGTCCACGACTCGCATCCGTATGTAGCCACCGGAAAGATGCATGCTCAGAAAATTCTAATTTGTATCTCCTTGCTGGTGCTTAACCATAGACTTTTAAGGCTGTTCAATCTTTGCATTGCTATGGCCATCCTCCTTTTCATTTCTGTCGAACAGTCTCCATTGTTGTTTATTATAGAGCCTAGATAATCAAAGTTTGTGATATTTTCAATTTCTTCATCATTTATTGTGCATCATTTATATTGCTTGTGGTAAATGAAAAAAAAAAAAAAAAAAAAATGTTGCAAAGCATACTAATAACATGTTTACAGTAAAAGGCTTGATTCGAACTTGACAAAATCTTAAACTTCACGCATTTTCGAGGTAATACGTGCAAGAAACTGAGGCTCGCTTATAAAGTATATAGGTAAGTTGCGTATCCTTTACAGGACGTTGTAGAACCAACCCCAACAACCCCTGGCTGTTGTGTGGGTTTTCTTGGCAAATTTACGTCCAGAAATTTATAAAGTATTTAGTTTATGGAATAGTGAAATTTATAAGTCATGTAGTGCAATATGCCTGTTGATTGTTGATAATAAGTGAGCGATTTATGTTAACTACTATAGATTGCTTTTAAAAAAAAGGAGTACACATATTATTTGTCCGTCAAACTGTAAGTAAACTGTAAGCAAACAGTAGTACCAATACTATTCTCAATTTTGAAATCACAAGGTCATAAAAAATCGTTAAGCTTATATGCAAAAAGGATGGTGGCCTGCCTACAGCGTCACACAGAGCACAACACTCCGTAGTTCCAGCGACGACTGCCCAGGATCCCCCAAAAAGACTTCCTCACAAACCAAAATACAAAGTATAAATCTGAAGCTACGACTTTCAGATTGCGAAGCAAACTGCATAGCCACTTCACCAGATATATACATGCATGTGTGTGTGTGTATATATATATATATATATATATATATATATATATATATATATATATATATATGAGTGTGTGTATGTGCGTGAGTACAAACATTCATGTATACGTACATACATACATGTACTCAGACACACCATAATCAGTTACCAAATCAGGTGCCGTCTCTACAACAAAGGTTGGCTGCAATGGGTCTACAACATGGTCTGTCTTTCACCATGGATGTACAGTATTTCAAACTACTGTTTGTCATTTATTAATGTCATTCTCCTCCTTGTATCGCTATTTGCCTCTTGCCCGCCTGCCTTTATTCACTCCACCTCCCTCGTATGGGTTTTATAAGAGTTTGTCTTTTAATTTAATTGAAATGATCAAAATGTCTTTTTTTATGAATGTGTTTATTTATTTAATTATCTCTTCTCATCCATAGTCTCTTCAGAATCTCTCTCTGACTATTATTGTCTCTGCCTTCATGAAACACAGCATATTCTTCTGCAACTCCAAAGACTCTTTTTTTGATTGCCTTTCCTATTTTACCATTAACGCCACCGTTAAATAACAATAACGATACAAACGTTAATATTGTCTGGAGTGCAAGCATGACCACTGCTCCGTAATTCACTGTCACTAAGAAATGTCACGTCATTTTGCAGCCTAAATGCTGTGTGCTATAGCACGCAAGCTCGAACAGTCTAACATTGTCTGCAAGTTAACACAGAGATGTCAATATATAGCCCTAAGTGACGATTCCGTTCCTGAAGTCTTAACCAGTTGTGTAGTTAAATTCAGGAAACAATTCTATGCTCCAAGGATATGCAATAGATGTTGCATCATACTCAATTCCATTGTGTAAATGTGATGGACTGTTCAGTTCTGTAGCGTGGCAACATTAAGATTTGCCGGCATGGATTTTGCTTCGAGTGAGACTCAATAACCTATATATTTTTGTGTTTACATTAATATTGACATATCATTAAAATAATATTTCCTTTCATAAATACAAACTAGTATACTTAACTACCTATATCACTACATATAAACATACTTTCCAGCTTGTCCTTCTACATATCTATAAAACTACTTACCAGTCAACTTTTCTACCAAGCTGCCCATCTGTTTACATACAGCCTTCTTCTTACTGGCATTACTAAGTAACTAAGAAACTATTTATTTAACTTCCACCTAGCTACCATGGAAACATATGCACATGTGTACATACATGGCGCAGCTAAATAGACATCAAACAAAGGCAAATATCAACCCTGATTTGTGTCATCCATCCGAGACAAAGATGGAAATTATATCAGACAGACTGCAAGAACAACAACATGCAGCAAATTCATCGAGAAACAGAAGATCATATAGTTCTGTCATTTAGTAAGTAGCCAGAACAACTACCAATGCGGGCACTACACGTGAATGGATCTGAAGTGAAAGCAAGAGGCGGTCCTAGGAGAACATGGATTGATGAGATTAAAGAGTTTCCACATTGACACAGAATGAAAGTAGCCATTGCTGGCCATCAAGCAATGGGTAGCGAACTGTTCTTCCTCACAACGCTCAACGGCAGAGGTGGAAACTGATGATGATGATAATGATCAATGCTGAGCAACACTAGGAAGACTTTTTTGTAAAAATTATTTAAAAAAATAAATACAACTTGCCCAGTCATTGAACTTGAGCTCAGTAAAGAACAAATGATTTTCAGAAGAAACAGAAGTTGTGCCGGTGTCATCTTTGCACTGAGACAGGTAGGAAAAAATTACACAAGAATATGATAACATCCTATGTCTTGTATATATATATATATATATATATATATATATATATATATATATATACAAAAGGAAAGCATTCGACCGGGTCAGCAATTAACTGCTTTAGAAAACGCGAAGCGCTATGTAGTTAGTTAGCGACTGGTAAACATCGGTAAACAACAGCTAATGTGAATTGAGATCAAAATATAGAACGAGTTTAGTCAAGAATTGACAACACAACACTCAGCGCATTCCAGTGTGTGCTCCTCAGCATCTTCAGCAGCCAGCGCAGAGTTCCAACACTGATGATACCGGTCACAATCTGGTATATGTCTGTCTTGCCTTTTCCTTGAGTGTAGTAAGCCGACCAGACCCTCTGGTTACACCCATGTGCCTCATTCTCTCCAGGCCATAATAAACTTGTTTCTCTACTGATTGCGTTGCTTGTTCCCAAGGATTTGTCTAAATCTGCCTTGTCATGTATCAATTCACCGTCCATTGGTGCAGATCCCACCAATCTGTCTGCCTGTTCATTCCCCACCACGCATTCCAGAATAATACAATCCGAGGTCCGCCTGCGACAATAAGTGCAAGGAGCTTCTTTTGGCGGACCACAAAGGCCTCGTGGTAGCTATGGAGGTAGAGCTGTAGAGAGACATGGTCAATCTAAGCGTAGCAGCAAAATTACACAGCATAAAAATTAACATACACAGAAAATCAAAGCAATGTTTGCCCATTGTGAATTTGAACAGAAGACACAAACAATAGACTGCACAATTTATTGCCTGGCATATTTCGTTGTACCTCGTCAGGTGCATACTACAGTCACAATACATAGATTAAGAGGATAAGTGAAAATGTGGACACGTGGTAATTTAGGACAATGCATTTTAAATCCTTTATACGTCATCCAATGTTAGAACGCTAAGATTTCTTGAAGCTTTCGCGATTTGTCACCTGCGCCAGGAATTCTGTATACAGAAAGATATGGTTCTGACTGACGGCTGCCCTGGTAAAACAGGCAGTCACGTTTGATCGTTGTTGAATTTGTACTTCAGTTTCAAAGAATTCACTTATCTGGTTCATTTATGTAATTGTTACTGAAGTATAAATTAATTAGGCATTCTATTGTTTGTGCTTCTTTGTTCAAATAAAAAAGAAAACCCAGAAGTTGTGTACATTAGTAATAACAGAACAGTCAGTAAAGATTTACAGGTAAAAACAAGCAACTCAAGGGAGCAAAAGACTTCAAGTATATATATGCAGCATAGCATTATTAAATGGAAAAAAAAGAAGCAGAGGTAGAGCATGATGTTATAAAGTAAATGAAATCATAGGGCAGATGTCGCCAATATTGCAGAACAAACACTGACAACAAAAGGGCACTACTGAATACATAATTTTCCCCAACATTGTTTTACCAGTGCCAAAAGTAGATATTAACAAGAAAAAGAAGAGAAAAATCAAAAACACAGAAATCAAGCTTCTGTGATCAATCCTAAATGTATGTAGAAAAGACAGGATAAGAAATGACGCCATCAGGAAACAATGTGGGACGGAGCCATTACTAAACTACACCAGCAGACAACAGATCAAATGGTTCGGACATGTGACATGACTTCCACCAGACAGTGCACCACAGAGAACCCTATCACTTGGACACATGGAAGCAGAACAAAAGGTCGACCACGCAAACGATGGATAGATGGAATGTCCAATCCCGCTATTACATTTATTCTGCGTTGCTTTGCTATAATTTACTTCACGCTACTATACTTGTCTTTCAGTATATAGTGCAGACCGCTTATGGCGATCTCGGATGTGGGAATTTTCGTGTGTAAAGAACAAATACGGCAATTTTTTCTTAGTTGAATTCTTATCCGCATAAGAGGGATTTTTGATAAGAAATACCACTTCTTGAGTCTCCGCTGAGTTTTCATCAGGCTTGCAATTTATACAGTCCGCTTTTGTGGCTTAGGCCTCACGAACGCGCTTCGTAATGCCGCGGGTGCCGGGCTCAATCCCAGCTGCAGATGGTTTGACAGCAAACCGCCGTGGGTTGGTTTCAAAAGTGGTATCGAGAACAGATCGTTCTAAAAAAGCACTGACAAGCTACTGAATGCTTTGCCTAGAGAAACTACAACAGCCAAACTGCATACACAAATTCCCCGCAGTTAGTTTATAGAGATAGCTTGTCTAGTCGTAAGTTTCTAACTAAGTGATCAAATAATTTCTTCCTACAGATTCAAAATCAACAGACCAGAGGACTCAAGTGTGGACCACACACATTAGTAGCCAAGTAAATGGCACTCCACACACAAGCAACGCAATAGATATACAACAGAACAAATCCAGTGTCATTCCAATAGACAAGTCTAGCCGTAAAGAAGAAAACAAAGGGTTGACTTCAGACTTCAAGCTGACCAGACTAGAAAAGATTTTCTCTTGGCGGTTTGTCATCACACTGCTACTGCAGACATCCCTAATGGTATCTATGTTAATCAGGCATTGCTTGCCAATGGCGTTAGTGTGCATGGTAAAACCACGTAGGTCTCTGTCCAAATCTAACGGCTCGACCGGGATCTCAAACAGGACAGGCCACGAGTCCAGCAGTGATGATAGAGACATTTCATGGAATATTTCTAGCTTTAAAAATAGCACAATGTCGAAGGTAAGATTTAAATTGATAATAAGTTAAATGTTAAATGTTTGTCGAAGTTCCCACTTCACGGCACCCTGTGGTTGTTTCCTTCCTGCCAATTTAATGACTTGAGAATTGACATCATAGCACACCGGGTATACCGATAGATACTCCGTCTCCGGCAGCAAATGACGTAAGGTGTAAATGCTAACTGTTCCCGTAGCACACTGATTATACATAGATAGATCTTTTCCTCTCCACCGTCCTTGCTTGCCGGATCCACACTTAATTCCTTGTTCACACATCCTGATCCATGTTATTTCCTCTGATCTCGTGTCTTCTGCCAAAAGTCGTTCATATACGGTCTTTAGAATATTTCCCTTGTCCTGTGAAAATGAAAACATATAATAATGTCTGTTGCTATCACATGTGCATTAAATGCACAAGGCAGCCGACAGAAGTGACAACATAAAACAACTGGCACAAGAATTGCAGTTCGTACACCTTTAATACCAACACATCTGAGGGTTCACTACCAGCTCTACATAAGGCACCACCAGTTCTGCATAAGGCACCACCAGTTATGCATAAGGCACCACAGTTCTGAATAAGGCACCACATGTTCAGAATAAGTCACCACCAGTTCTGCATAAGTCACCACCAGTTCTGCATAAGTAACCACCAGTTCTGTATTAGGCACCACCAGTTCTGCATAAGTAACCACCAGTTCTGTATTAGGCACCACCAGTTCTGCATAAGTCACCACCAGTTCTGTATTAGGCACCACCAGTTCTGCATAAGTAACCACCAGTTCTGTATTAGGCACCACCAGTTCTGCATAAGTCACCACCAGTTCTGCATAAGTAACCACCAGTTCTGTATAAGGCACCACCAGTTCTGTATAAGGCACTACCAGTTCTGCATAAGTCACCACCAGTTCTGCATAAGTAACCACCAGTTCTGCATAAGTCACCACCAGTTCTGTATAAGTAACCACCAGTTCTGCATAAGTCACCACCAGTTCTGCATAAGTCACCACCAGTTCTGCATAAGTAACCACCAGTTCTGCATAAGTCACCACCAGTTCTGTATAAGTAACCACCAGTTCTGCATAAGTCACCACCAGTTCTGCATAAGTAACCACCAGTTCTGCATAAGTCACCACCAGTTCTGTATAAGGCACTACCAGTTCTGCATAAGTCACCACCAGTTCTGCATAAGTAACCACCAGTTCTGTATAAGGCACTACCAGTTCTGCATAAGTCACCACCAGTTCTGCATAAGTAACCACCAGTTCTGCATAAGTCACCACCAGTTCTGTATAAGTAACCACCAGTTCTGCATAAGTCACCACCAGTTCTGCATAAGTCACCACCAGTTCTGCATAAGTAACCACCAGTTCTGCATAAGTCACCACCAGTTCTGTATAAGTAACCACCAGTTCTGCATAAGTCACCACCAGTTCTGCATAAGTAACCACCAGTTCTGTATTAGGCACCACCAGTTCTGCATAAGGCACCATCAGTACTGCATAAGGCACCACTAGTTCCGTAGCAAACGGCCAACTATCATTTTCTGAATCTGCAGTAATAAACACAGACCATCTTGGACATAGCAGCAAAGCATTCTACTTTGAATTCCAAAGTATCGCAGAAAGCACTAAACTACTCGATGAGAACTATGTACTTTCTTCAGTCGGCCTAATAAGTTAGAATGCGGCTATAAACCTGATCAGAAGCAAACATGTCAGGACTTTTATGATCAGGCTGCCTGAAAAAAAAAAAAAAAAGTAAAACAACGAAAGTTTTTTTTTACACACATCAAGATGTAGAAATCTAGTGAGGGCTGGTTCAATATTTTTATTGATAAATGGATACTTGAAAGGCGATATGAGCGTATTTGCTTTCCAGAATATTTCCATGCATTCCTTTTAAACTGGATGGTCATTAGAGCCGGTGTTAGATTTCCTGGATTCCTCGTGTGGTTTCCGGGGCACCACTGTGGGGGAAAACAAGAACAGACTCAATTCCTTCCCCGAAAAGCAATTTAGTCGACTATTTAGGGGATTCCTTTAAAGTAGAATCGCATCTGCTCGAGGGGCAAGAAACACCCAAGTGCACACAAATAAGCCAGTAAAACGGATGCAAACTCAGGCCCTGTCACAAAGTCAAAGTCCAGATGTTCGAACAACCATGACTTTCAGCAGGAACTTAGAAAGAAATGAACAAAGGTATAGAAGAAGAAGAAGAAGAATATTTGCTGCAATGGGTGCCAAACTCTTTGAGACTACTGTTTGCCTATTTTTTAAATTAATTCTCCAACTTCTGTCGACGACTACCTCATGCTCGCTTGCTTTCACCCTTTCACATTTTGCCCTTGAAAGATTTTTTTTTTTCAAATAAGGGATTTGTCTTTGAATGTTATAACATAATTCACTTATCTTTTTTTCTCATCGTCAGTTTATTCAGACATTCTGTATTTGATTGTTTTGGTGACCACGTAATGTGACCATTTCTTATGTATTCATTTAAACATATATATTTTTCCTCATTTAAGGGCTGGAGTTACGAGTTCGACTGGAGTTCAGAAGTCCAAGGGTTGATCCTAACTTCTATTATGTTCTCCTTCTTCTTGGGTCCGATTGTGGTGACCATTTTGACGAATCGATTGGGCATCAAATGGGCTATGTCGCTGACTAACATCCTTTCAACTGCATTGACATTTCTCTCTCCAGTTGCTGCTAGGACGAGCCCGTACTGTCTTGTTGTGGCTCGGATACTCTTGGGTGTCTCTTTGGTAAGTTGTATGTTGAAGGTAAAATGTTGTATTGAGAATTGACATCATACATACCACTCGGGAAATGGTAAAAAGCTTCCCTTCTTTGTCTTTTGCAGCAAGAGCAGAATTCCAACTCCGAAAGCATCACTAAGAGATTGATTGTACATTCGTGTCGCATTTTCCTTGCGTGTGAGTGTCCACAAGATCAAAAAGTCACTCCTCGCAGCACCTTTCTCCTCAGTCTATCTTTGTGTGCCTCCTCACCGTTCACTTGCTCCCAAAGAATCCTTGCTATATCGAGCCTGTCATACATCAGTTTACCACCAAAATGTGCAGAACCAGCTGTTAAGTTGTATAGATTAGTATTGCCAGCAGTCTGGTCGAATATCAAAGTGAATGTAAAACAAGCTGAAGAGTGGTAATATGTTCGTGTATAGTAGCACACTAGAAACTATATGTATATAGATATGTATATATTCACATACACACACACTTACACACACATACACATACGTTTTTTCACACAAGTTTTCAAATGTTTGCAGAGACCCAAGGTACAGGGTATATATATATATATATATATATATATATATATATATATATATATATATATATATATATATATTATATATTATATATATATATATATATATATATATATATATAATATATATATATATATATATATATATATACATATACATACACACACACACACAAAGACACACCATGCACTATTTAAGCAATCTACCAGTTGACATCTCTACAAGGAAGGTTGGCTGCAATGGAATGTCTAACGCTCTGCCTCTTGTCTTCGTTGTAGTTTGTTTCGCATCGCAGTTTGGCTGTTTGTTGATACTGTCTTTCCACATGTATCATTGTCTATCTCTTGATCTCTCGCATTTGACGTTTCCACCAGGCTGATATTGTTTTAAGAGTTGCTGATATACTTTGTGTGTATCTGACACACACATATTTCACTTCCGGGAAAAGGTGCTTTTTTATAGCCAAAACTTCCTTGATGTTCAGATCTTTTTTAAAATGTAATTTTTCTCCTCTTCTTTGTCCAAGATATTTAAATCTTTTTATAGGTTACAATACAAAACAATCCCGCCTATTATTATTTTTTCTAGGCGGGGTCAACGCGGGTCATTGTGGACACCTTCCTGGTGGGCCCACCAGATGGGGGGACTGACCATATCGGCTTGGGTTTCACGGTATCAAAAACAGTTCAATCAGAGGCGTTTTTTTCCCCTAACGACGACAACAGCAACAGACGACAGACGCAGACAACAGACAGACGACAGACAAACAGACAACGACAAAAAAGACAACAACAACGACAAAAAGACGACGACAGACAGCGGACAGACGAGGATGGATGTATGGAGGTGGATAAAAAAAAAACTAATTTCAACAGACTGCAGACCAAAAATAGATAGATAATGATTAGATAATAATGATAGATAGATAATAGATAGTAGATAAGATAGATGATGTAATTTAAAAGATAGAGATAATAGATAGATGATAGATAGATAAAAATTTTTTTCAAAGGGTCAAATTGGGCACCAGGCCGTCTTATATTCGCCCTTCCATTCAAACCCCTTCGCCAGCCGTTGTATTTTTAAATTTAACTGTTTTATCATATGATATTGCATATTTAAAATTTAAAAGTATGGTTGTAAAGGCATGCAAAAAACCCCCGCGTGCTACCACACCCGTATAAATCATACTCCCCTACACACTTCACCCACTCACTTTCCACACTACTCATGCAGTAACTTCATACAACGGGATCCTAAAAACATCAACAAACCATCGACATCCAAAAATCCCCCAAAAATACTATACTATTCAAAATACAGGGATACATACATACATAATAACTACATCTACATACCCTACATAATACAAAACTACTACATACATATAATCATAAATAAACCCTACATACATACATTACATCATAC